TAAATAATGCATTTATTCAAATTCTGATTTTTGGAATTTTTAAAAAAGAATCATATTTATCTCTATTAAAAGAGTCATTATTTATAACGATTCAGCCGTAATAAAAAAGGTAAAAAGAAACACAAAAGAATGTTATTGTTATATCTAATAAAAAATAAGAACATTTTTTTCCGGGTAAACCAGTGATGTAAAAATTCATAAGAATCTCTCGTATAATATTTACGAAAAATTTGCAGTATTGAAATTGGTTGTCGGGTAGGGCAGGGAAAATGTAAGTGACTATAATTTCTATAAACTATAATAATAATATACCAAAACTGTTTACAAAAACCTAACTACGATTATTATAATCACCGACTGGTGAGTGGTGACTACAGATAAATACTGCTGGCCCACATTAACTATCATGTAGGTACTCATCTTGACCTATGTTGAATAATAAGCATGTTTCCCTATGCTATTTAGTACTTTTGGTCAAACACAGTGGCGTAATTAGAAATTGGTTCTAAGGTGGGATATTATAAGTCTTTATAATCATAAGCTAAGCCCCAAATAGGTTATGCCCCCCACATGCCCCTTGTTCATTAACTTTCAAAGATCATAATATTATATTAATTTATTATTATAAATTAAATTATTGTTTAATAACGGTTTTCAAAGATAATAAAGTAAACAATTAAATTAAATTAAATGTTTGATTCATAATAATATAAAGTCCATTTTTCTTTTTTTTTTGATAAATTATCTAGTACCTAACTATGTCTTCTGATTTCAATATTATGTCCCGATGAACTGACAGCATTGTTAGTCCATTTAATATTTCCAATTAAGTTACTACAAATTCATAAAAATATATAAAAATTTTAAATTTTAAGGTTAACTTTAATTTTTTAGATCATTGCAGAGGATTTTTGTGGTATTTTTAAAGATTTTGAATTTGAAATTTAATTTTAAGACTTTTATATAAATTGAAAAAACTATAACTATATATACAGGTAAGTAAATATATGATCTAAACCTATATACAGTTGTAATTAGGTACTTATGGAATAATTGTTTTTCCAGTGTACAGAATTGCAAAACGATCATTTCCGTCTGTAAAACTTTTTTACTACCTACCTATTCTTTAATATATATATTATTATTTAGGTACAACAAATTTATATTAAAATGTGTAACGAGATTATTAAAATTAAAAAAAAAATAGTGCATATTTTTAGTGCATTATTTAGAATTTTTAGGGATTTTTTGGGTTTTTAGGGGGAGCGTAAATCCCATTGGTTATTATTTTGTAATTTACAAAAATAATAATTATTAACAATATTAACAATTTTAATTTATTTTGTGTTCATATTAAGAAGGTATAATCATGCCGTTAAAAATGATAACAGAAGTCGTAAGTTGTAAGTTTTTATTAGTTTTATCTTTTAACTGTGATAATAGATAATCATTATCCATTAATTTTTATTTTAAAATCTTAGAATATTTTATAGCCAAGGGCTCACAGGAATTTAATAATTATTTATAAAAAAGGCTCTGGGAGGGGGGATATATCCACATACCACCCCACACAAAAAAAAAATTACACCACTGATCAAACATTATAAATATTTTTTTCTATGAAATAACAAAAAAAACATGCTAACTCATTTAATTCACAACTCTGGTAATAAAAATAAAACTCAAAATGTAGGATACAAAACCTAAATAAATATATTTTTTATTCAAATACCTATCCACCTATAAGTTTTATAACAAGTTTAAAATATGGTAGCCGGTAGGTAACTATCTATATAATAGTAATGGATTTTTATAATATTATACAAAAATATCAATTATTTCAGACTCATTGTGAGAAAAAATTCCATATAAGTGCTATTGACATTTTAAAAGTAAAAATACAAATCTTTGATTAAAATGTCAAGGTTTTACTACCTTCATTTTCATTATTATAATTTGTTAGGTTTTTTTTGTGCACTTTATGTAAAGTATTTATTTGTATTTAATGAAAATTAAAAATGTTATAAGTTTAATTTGCAATAACGCGTATAATCAGCATTCAGCATTTGAACAATGGGTAAATAATGTTTTATTATTCATCATATTGTATTATACGGAATTCTGCTCAAATGATTTTTGTTGTAATTCAAAAATTAATAATAGTAGAAACTTGATACATTCCACTACTACTTAAACTATCATTTTTTTTTTTTTTTTTAATTGATCTTTTTAAAGCCCGGCGGAGGTGACTATGACCATTAGCTTGATTGTAGGGTTTATGATTGTAGGTAGTAGGGTTTGAAATTGTAGGGTTTTACACGTGTGTGTTGTGTTTGGTAGAATTTCTATTGGGGCACCCGTAGGTTTCTGCCATGCCCCGGAGTGAGGGATGGCGGCACTTGTTCTCCGGACACCGTGACTTGCCCGGAGAAAAATGCCGCCCAGTGGTCGAGAGAATCGAACCCGCGACCGCCTGCGCCGCAGACGACGTGTTCGACCGCTCGGCCACCTCGTCCCCCCTATCATTTTCTATACCTACAGAGAATGACATTTTTAAAATATTTAGACACATTTTAAGCTATTTATACTTTGAAGTTTGAACCTATTTACACCAATTTACCTTTTACATCGGTATTGACTTACAAGTTATAATAATAATAATATCAACTATTTACAATTTAAGTTATTAATTATTATATAAGGTGGTTACCCATATTATAGACAAACTAATACCTTTTATGTGCCATTCCAGCGTACTTCATATGGTAAAAACGCTCCTTTAATTAGATCAATGCAGTATGTGAATTATTTCAACATTGATATGTTTTTTTGTAATTCTATTTTACTTTTTAATTTATATATTGGTAATTTAATTAATTAACTTATTGTATACAACAACCCTCATCTAGTTCATATATGTAAAATTTTTCATTTTTGTTCTACATTTATATTGTAACTGGGCTCGCCCGTTTAATTCTAATAAATAAATAAATAAATAAATAAATAAATTATCGTGGCCTGTGTAAATGTGTAAACACGTCTTGTAATTATTACTTTAGAAACTCGATAACAATTTTAGTAGGTAGCATGTTAAGTTTGACTGGGGTAAATTTTTACCCCGCGTGTTAAGTAATGGGTTAAAACCAAATAATTATGAACAAAATTATAATGATTACTTTTATGATTTGCAATCATGATTCGTTTTTTTTATTCTGAAAATATTTTTGATGTAAAAACATAGAACCTTTGATACAGTGGCTTGGACACATTATGAGAAGGGGGCAAAGTGATACTACTAAGCTAGTAGTAGATTGGAAACTACACGGAAAGAGACCCCGGGGAAGACCCAGGAAGAGATGGATGGTGCTTGACAGGGATAGGTGGCGCGATGCCGACAGGCTAAAACTCTTAGAGAGTTGTAAAAGCCAGAAGAAAAAGAAGAAAAACATACAACCACATTATCAATCTTAACGATATTGGACTATTGATACGTCGCTTTTAAGTATTCGTTGAATCTGTCTTCAATTTTTCTGCGAGAACATAAAAAATATGTCCTGAATTATGAAATTTAAAATCTTGAAATTAATCATTGGAGTTAAAATTATTTCTATTTGTATTATATTTTTATTTGAACTGAAGCAAAACGGAAAACGATAGGAAAATAGAATAATTTTAATCTGGCCGGAGAAATCTGGTAATATTTATTTAGTAATATAAAAAATAGTAGAATTATACTTATGTATACTTTGTAAAAAAATACATAAATCATGAGATGTGACTGTCTATTATAACAAAATATAATTAGTGAATACAATTGTAATTCCCGGGAACATTCCTTCCAGGGAATTTCCGGGAGGAAAACTCTCATCAATGTCATTAAAATATACATTTTAATATAAATAAATTATTTCATACATAGGTATGAACTATAAACTGTATAGCACATAAAGTTACTTCACCATGATACACTTTCTATCACAGTGACCTACTACTGATGACCTTTACTGGCTGATGAGATAGGTACACACGAGACTTACTATACAGCAGAGCCAGGTTTACTGGTTTTTTTTACCTACCTACCTAAAAATAATATGTAGTTTTAGTAGAAATATATTGTGAGTATTGAACGATTACAATATACATTGCATTCTATCTATATAGAGTTATCTATAGTTATAATATTATTAAGTAAAATTGGCTCTTTATCACCGTAATAAATGTTGTATGCGGATCTTTTAATATCGGAAATACGTCTACATTGAAAATATTATTATATATAATAACAGTTGCAGTTTATTTTATATGACATGTAATTGTAATATGCCATTTAAGAAAGGTTAGGTAACTATTTTATAGTTTCATGTTTGGATAATATACTAATGCAGCAATAACGATATTATATAAAAGTATAAGACTCGTACTAAATTAATTATGATATCTATTCAAAAGGTAATTATAATAAATCGAATATTTAATTTTTATCTATTACAGCTTGGAAATTTAAACATTTGTATATTTTTACTGAATAGTCCAAAAACGTCCGACTAGACTAGCAACATTAAAAAAAGTAATAGCTTACAACTGAAGTATAAGCTGCAGTAAGTTGGATTTTAATTCTTAAAAATACATGATTGAAATATTTTTATTAATTGATAATACAACATAATTGTTAAATATTCATCTATTATTACGTAGGCTACGTATTATATTCTATCAGTGTTACAATATAAAATGTATTTTAATTTGTTCACAATATTAATAAAGTAGGTATAGGTCGTATTATTGAAAATTGTATTTTACTTCCACATGCAAAGAACATAAAAAAATAGTTATTAAAATGTTTGAAATAATCGTAAACGACACTATTTTATTAAAACATCAGATCACTTGCATATTTTGATAGTTTTAATGTATGTACTCCTGAACCTTATAGTTATAAATTAATAGTATAATACAATTTTCCATAAAGTTTAACTTGAAAAATAAAGTATGTTACTCACCTTTTATACCATTCATTTCTTTATTGATGACGGTGTTAAAAATGTTGTCCCTTATTTCTTTATTAGAAAAATCTTTGTGATCTGGATTGTAGATCTCTGGGTGTTTGCTGATTTCGTTTATTAATTTCGCTACATCAATTTTCATGGTTATTTTTTGTTGAAACTTAGACGAGTGAAATAAAAAAAATTGAAAACTTTAGAGTACGTATTTGTTGTTACGTAACGTTGTTTTTCGAAAATTTAACGTAGACTTTGTGTTCACGGAGGTCCGCCGATCAGCGTGTCTGGGAGTACACTGAGCTCCAAAAATGTGCGAACTTCAGATGAGGTACCTACACTACTATAATGTAAACTTTTGGATTTGACGTACGCAGCTACGCATTTTATTGATTATTTTTGTTCTATCTGACGGTAATTTGATGAACTGTTCGAGCAACAAGCTCGTACAAGAAACCTTCCATGAATCATGATTTATACATGAATATAATATATATATATGTATATTAGTATTATTACCTATTAATTAGATACTATATTGAACCAACATTTAAAACCAATGCAATACAAAACTATGTTTTTCTTAAATATTTTGTTATCTATTTAATTAGGAAATTGTTGTTATCGATGTTAGATATTAAAATTAAAAGTACAGTACCTATACGCATTGTATAGTTTTTACTAGTTAGTACTTCTCCATATAAATTATATATAGGTATTCATACAAAAATGACTACCTTTACAAATTGATTGTTATTTCCAAGCTATATTCACATTATTTTTACAGTGGTAGTAAATAAAGTCGTTCAACATAGTACGTCATAGTAAAATAATGTTCTACCTATTTGATCATGCAAATCTGATAAGTTCCGACTTCATAAGTTTGAACACATTATTTATTAAAAATATAATTCTTGAGCCATATTATATGAATTCACTTGCTAATACAAATATAATATATCTATCGTACAATATTTATCATATTATATTATTGTATTATTTACAAACAAAAATAGGTATGGTTTTATAGAAAATACAATTTATTTTATATGACAATTATTCTTCTTTCGAAAAATGTAACATTTGTATATAGATTTCCCCAATTCTCCAATTACACTTTAAATGCACTTTAAAAGGTTCAGTATGTAAATATTAGTTTTTAATTTTGTAACAGGTTTTGATATTTTACACTTTTATTTATTTGTATATATTTGTACATTATAAAAACCGTACGTTTAATATTCCAAACAGAATATATAACACTATTTTGATGTGTTATTTTTTCGAACCCCTATTTATAGTGTGGTTTAACTGTTTATATTATATTATACGGAAGAAAGTTGAATATAGATTTAAAATTAAAAATGTTATAAATAAACATTACCTACGTATACATTGCGTAAACCTACGTCATACATAAAACAGTAACAATGATAATATAATAACTATAAATAAATGTAATTAAATTACTAACAAAAACCCAACTTTTTGTTATCTAGTCGGGTTAATTTTTTTTAATGATAATGTTAAGAGTACCAATTCGGGAAAGATAACTTTTCTTTTTTTTTTAACTCGTTATCTTAAATCGGTATATGAAAATGTTAGTTAAATTAAAGTTAAAAGATATTTTTATTTAAATTAATTTAAAATAGCTACATGTTAAATAAAAAAAAGGGGGGAAGTGGGTGTCGCTCTGCTGTACAGTAGGTTACAAGAGTAGGTCACTGTAATGGATTTAGTTATATTTGAATTCAATTGTATAATATCATTGTATAAGAAAAACGATTCTGGGTGAAGACAGTCAGTCAGCCTTTAATATATATTGATATTACTATGTATATTTGATGATATCATTATTTTGAATAAAGTAATTTATATATAACCTCCTTACGTAGAACCTTGTTTTAAATTTTCAATCCTTAGCTGTAAAAGTTGAATATTTATACTTTTTTAACAACAAAATAATTATTAAATTTTAAATTTGATACATTTTGTCAAAATTCGAACTTTAAACTTTTCAAATGCTAAAGTAACAATAAATCAGGAGTTTTGTATTCAATACATTCTTTTTTGTATTTCCCGCCGCTTTTAAAAACAACTGGGAATTTTTTACTTTTTACCTTTCCATTGCACCAACTACATTCACTTTCCCATCAAACAAGATACTGAAGTCGAAAATCGAAGCCTTATTTCGACTACTTATCGTGTGCAGACACAAAAAAAAACACACATCCTTGTAAAATCAATACATTCATTGCTCCTCTCAGAGTTTAAAACAATCGGGGGTAAGTCATTCTGCTGTCTAAAAATGTCTAATTTAAATATTTGTTGAAAATGTCAAGTCTTTTCAAGTCAAGGTTTTTCTTTTCGAATTAATTACAATTTAAAACAATAAAACAAAATCGATTTTTTCAAAAAACTGCCGTTGAGTAAATATTCCTGTTTTTCGATGAGTTGTGTAACTTTTCAAAAATATTTTAATGTTTCGGACCTCCAAAGTAAAAACTAGATCTAATTTTTTACTTACCCGGAACCACCACGAAAGTTGAAAAATTGTATATATATATAATATATATATATACAATTGCAGTTCACTTTTATATGTATACACACCGATTTAGGGGGTGAGACCAGAAAAATATCATTATTTTTTTTTTCTTATATGGCTAAGGAACACCCTAATATATACAGGGTGTCCCGTGAGGATTTACTCATTAGCCGTAGAGGGGGACTCGCCGCCCGGACAAAAACCAGTTTATTGACGTTTTACTAATAAACTAAAAAAAATATTAAAAATCATGAGATTAATGAAAATAAAATGTTAAAAGCTCAAAATGTTCACAAAAATATACTCTATAGAATGGCTATCTTCAATTTTTTCAAAAATTAAAAAATTAAAAAATAATTTTTTTAACTTTTTTACTAAAAAATTTAATTTAATTAAAAAATAAAATATTTGTAGTGCTTACCTCTGCGAGTCTTAATAAAAAAACATAATAACGATATCTCCATTATTTCAGGAGATATCGCAATGAGTAAATCCTCACGGGACACCCTGTATATCTTATTTTAGACTCATCCATTCAAAGTTAAGCTTAAAAAATCTAAAAATTCACTTATTTTTGTTAAAAATAATTTGTATTTATTTGGAATTACAAAAAACATATACATTTCAATTATTTAGGTTTAACTCAAATTACATATATTACCGATTGTTATTTCTGACGAGATAGAAATTATTATTATTGTTGCTATACAGGGTAAATTAATTAGGTATATTACATTTTTCCAAAAAAAAATTATCATATTTTATTTTAAGAATTTTAGATACAGAACTATATTATATGCTTCAATTAGTATTTCAATATTTATGAAGTCATGAGTAAATACATTATATTGATCTAAACTTTAGATTTCAGAAGTATGTACAGTAAGAGAAAATGCTTTAATAATATTTATTATAATTATTATAAAAAGTATTTTTCGATTTAAATTATTTTACTCTAACAACAAAGATCTTAAATACCTATAAGTCATAAATGCATTAACTTATAACTTGAATAATTTAACCTATGGATAAATATTGAAGAATAACTCTTTATATAACTTAGTATTTAAGTAGGTAGGTAATTGAAATTTAACTTTTTAACTCGTAAGTAGGTACCTACTTCAACATTTTAATTTAAAATGATTAGTATTTACCGACTTATTTTAGATTCTGAGTGAAACGATGAATGTATTGATTTTACAATGATGTGTGTTTTTATATTTATTTTTTTGTGTCTGTGTACACGATAAGTAGTCGAAATAATGCTTCGATTTTCGACTTCAGTATCTTATTCGATTGGAAAGTGAATATCGTTGGTGCATTGGGGAGGTCAAAATTTAAATTTCCCAGTAGTTTTCAAGAGCGCCGGGAAAAACAACATAAAAATTAAGGAAAAACGGGAATTTTTACGCAAAATCGGTTTTCCAAAAAATCGATTCTGGTTTTTGGTGTAACATTAAAACAAATGACCGTAGATACATGAAATTTTCACTGGTTGTTTATATTTGCATCTTCTATACACGATAACATTTTCAAAATATTTTGATTTATTTTGAACAGTTTAGGGACATTTTCATTTTTCGTTTTTTTTTTTTTAGTTTTTTTTCTAGAAATATCAATAAAATTTTATTTGTTGGTTGCGAAAGCTTGAAAATTTAATACAAGGCTCCTAATATATTGTTTCAAAGGCAGATGAAAAATATTAAAAAATCCTTAGTCACAATTTTTTTTTATAAGCATTTAAAGTTCAAAAATTGACAAAATATGGAAAAATCACGAAAATTAGCAAATTATTTTGAGTTAAGAATTCGTAAAAATTTTTCTTTTTAAATCTAAGATTTGAAAATCTAATACAAGATTACTCATAAGATTGTCTACCTTTATCAATAAAAAAATCTCTACCGGAAAGTCAAATTAAATTTTTATGAGCGTTTGAAATTCAAATTTTTACAACATTGGATATTCACTCGATTTCTCATGTGGCAATTTCCTTTTTTTGTTGTAATTAAAAAACGAATTACTGTAGATACATGAAAATTTCACTGAATGTTTATATTAGCATTTCCTATACACCATACAATTTTGAAAATATTTTGACTCTTTTTGAGCCGTTTACGGACATTTTCAGTTTTCAATTTTTTTAGTTTTTTTTTTCTATAAATATCAATTAAGTTTTGGGCCAAAAAGTGTAAAAATTTAATACAAGGCTCCTGATATATTGTTACAATATCAGTTGAAAAATATTAAAAATACATAGGCACAATTTTTTTTTATAAGCGTTTTAACATCGAATTTTGACAGAATTTTTCAAAATCTCGAAAATTATTAATCATCGTAATTAATAAATTATAAAATGTTCAGTTTTTATAGCTAAGGATTGAAAATTTAAAACAAGATTCTACGTAAGTAGTTAATTCTCTTACCGAAAAATCTAAAAAATATACAATCACAGTTTATTTTTATAGTCATTTTATGTTCAAATTTGGACGAAATTTCATATTAAAAAACCTAGTTATTTTGTTGTGATTATATAATATTATTCGTGGGTACGGGGTACCTACTTGAAACTTCTAAAGTGTACTATTATATATCTATGATAG